CAAATAATTTTGTTGTTATCTGTTGTTAGATAATGTGAGAGATTTTATAAATAGAATGTAAGAGGGAGTGAACTGGCAATATTTGTAAAATATCTGAACTAATAACAGCAAATGAGTTTAAATAAACAAAACCATTTGCAAAAACTATTTCACAGAATCCTAGTTTGGCATGCTTATTCAGAGGATTAGCCTTTACTAAATAAAATGGAAAAAAAATATTTCAAGGAATCAGTAACAAAAGAGAAATGTAGAATTGATTGCATTTTCTCTCCTGTGTGTCCAAAGAGAAAACCATAATTAGATAGTTAAGCATCCAAATAAAAGTGCTTTAATTTTTCTAAGAAGCCAACTATCCTAAAATTCCACTAAAATCACAGTAAATGAAGTCTGTTCATCACCTTTCATGTGTCATTCAGTTGCCAAAATAATCTTTAGCTTTTACCTTTAGGGGCCCAGATTTGAAATGACCGATCAGTTCAGCATGTTGGCTTTCTGGCCTGCTCCTTGTAACATGCTATGACACAAATTTGTCATGGTCAAAGTTTGTCAGGTCTTCTCTAACATGAGACACTGTGAGATATGTGACTTCCACTGTTTTCCAAGGACATGCAATGTCACTAGCACATCTCTACTCAAACTTGTACAGAGCCAGATGGGCATATTTGCTCAGAGTAGTTTTTTCTTTTGTTTTGTTGGTTTTTTAAAATTCAGTTCAGTTGGAAGGACCCACAATGATCATCTAATCCAATTGCTTGACCATTTCAGAGCTGACTAAAAATTAAAATGTTATTAAGGGCATTGTCCAAATGCCTCTTAAATGCTGACAGTTCTGGGGAATCACCTGCCTCTCTAGGAAGCCTGTTTCAGTGTTTGACCATCGTCTGGTAAAAGCAGCATGTGTTGGGACAGAAAGAGAGCATAAGAAATCTGCCCCCACAATTTCTCCTGTGCATATGGACACCTCCTGCAAGCTTTGGTACTGCTCCACCAGTTCCTGGTGTAATCCCTGCTCTGCCACCTGGCTTTCTGTGGGGGAGCCGTCTTTACTCTGGCACTGCTTTGTGCCAAGTTGTTACACATGTAGACCAAGAACAGGAGATTTCTTTTATTCCATCTTCCCGATGAAACATAGCACCAGTTTTGTTTCCAGAGTAAGTTTTTGCTGAAATGAGCACTCATTGAATGTAACCCATGACCATGTTGTAACTCACAACAAAGCTAAAATTTCACATGGCCTGCCCATGAAGCCTATCAGTCCTAGGAGGGACCACTACAGATAAAGAAGGCAGTATATACAGTTTAAGACTTTTATACCTCTTGTCAGGACCACCAGGAAAGATGATAGCTCTCATAATAGTTGCTAACTGGACCAAGACAACAAAATCTCTTTTTATGTGACCTCTAATATTCAACAGATGACAGTAAATAACAAACTGTAAAACTATCTGCCTATTCCAGATGAAACATTATGGTTTATAGCAATTTTATTCAACAGATTTTGGCTTTTTTATTTTAATCAAGAGTCATCCATGAGCAGACTGTGTTCTTTATCAAATGTGTGTGTTTGTTCAAAATTTACCAACTGGCTAGGTATTGATCAGATTTCCCAATCAAAATGTTTTTACATTTCTTTCCATGCCCTAGCCCTGCTGAGGACTGCAAATGAGTAATCCTTTGTGCTTAAGTTCTTATTGGATATTAACATAGTCTTTTTCCTGTCTTTATACGTGAAAGTTAGCTCATTTCTAGCCATAATTCTGATAGTGGAGTTTTCCTTAATTTCAGTTTGTCAAGTGGGACTTGCGTGAGTACCTGCTCTGCTGACTATACAGCAAAGGCACTGGGCTAAATTCATGGTTGCTTTACATTCAGTTCCTTCTAAGTACCTAGTTGAAGCTAATTATAAGTTAGATTTTAGGTAAAAGGAAAGACTCACAGTGAGTTTCATGAAACTTTGGTCTGTTCTGTCTTCCTTCCCCATCTGCTTAGGTATCACTTTTAGTGGTGTTGGGAGAATTTTCCAGTTGTGTGCAGCCAGAGTGTGGTGTTTAAGGTTTTTTTGGTTTGTTTGGGTTTTTTATTTGTTTTAGTAGTATATATGTGTACGTACCCTTCTCCTTTTTCAGTTTTGACTGACAGAAACAAAGACTAAAACCAAAACTGTAATAAGAACAAATGACCCAAACTATTGAGGAACTGTTGAAATGAAATTATTAAAGGAAGAATTGCCTTGCATCCAATCAAAATAAGTAAGTATAAAATATAGGACACCTGAATTCTTCAAGGTCATTTAAAAAAGCAACGGCCTAATTTGAGTGACTTCAATTAATCCAGTACTCACGTCTTACAATTTTTCTTTGCTTAGTGAAAGCTAAGGTTCCTAAAATAGGGGAAAAAAAAAGAAAAAAAGGCTGACAAAATACTTTTCTATTTTTAATGTTAATATACCCTAGTGTTCAAACTAGTCTTTGTAGATCAATGGTATCTTTTCCAAAGGATGAGAGAAGAATGAAAAATAAAAGTTTCACAATCCAGAGTTCTTCTTTGCTCTTTGTTACATTTCAAAGATCTACTGAGGAAAAATACAACTTTACAGAGAAGCCCCATAACAAACATAATATAGTTCTTGCATTTATTGAAAAGCTACCCTGTGAAAACTGAATTGAACATTGATTGCTTCTGTGTTGTCTCTGGCTGAACATAATGACACAGTTTCACTTGTTTTAGAAAACCCACACATTTCTTACTGATTGTCGTAAGTGAAGTTTTACAAGCTCAAATGCATAAGTATATCGATAATTTATAATGATGAAAATGAAATAAAATTGATTTTGACTGCAGGAAGTTAAGTTTGGGTAAAGCATGACTTTTTTCATGCTGGATTTACTGGAAAATATCTTATTTACACATACAGATGTTTATATTACTGATCTTTTAGACAATTCATTGCCATACGATGCTACACATGTTGCTTTCCACTACAGTAGTGACATTAAGGCAGTCACCTCTGCAGTGTGGGCTTGTGTGCTTGGAGCCTCAACATAAGCCAGATATTCACTCCTAAGTAGTCAAAAGCAAAACTTCCCACCATCAAATACTTATTCTCTTTGGAGGTATGCATATTGTATTGAAACATGAGAAACCAAATGCCTGCTTTGCTGAGCTAATACATACTTGAGGGAAACGGCCTCTTTTTAAAACATTAGCAACTTCTGTTACATTTGGTTTTCTATCTCCAGCAGCCACATGAATGCTTGCCTCAGGAAACGCATATGGATATTATCATTATCTTCTGCAAGTGTTACTGATGTTTATGTTCCTTTTTTTTTTAAGTAATTGAGAAATTAAGGAGGTATCTGAGATAAACTCTCAGGTAGAAAACAGTTGATAGTACTGTGCCCTATCAGTCATTTTGTGATCTCTTCTGGGGCTTCCTGCCTCTCTTTCACATAGTGATGGAGAACACATTCATTTTCTATCTACAAGAAAGAAGAATCAGTGGTAAATTCACCATGTGCAACAGATGTCTAGACCATGCCATATGTACTATATGCAGTACAGAAGGGAGGGTACATGTAGTGGCATACCCTTTGCTTCCCTGGGTAAATATTCTGTCAGCTTACATATGAAGTTTCTATTATTTCTGTGTTTCTGAACATGGATCAGAAAGGTGTTGGTTTCATGCAATTTGAATGGGAGTTATGAACCTTCTGCCATGAAGAAAGTGTCAGGTAAGTTGCTTCTGGGAATATTTCTCCAGCTTCTGCTTCCTTGGTGGTGCTGATAGTGAATGAATGGCAGTGAGAGGAGCACATGAACTCATTCAGCCACATTATGCTATTTTCACAAGCCTGTTTTAAATTCACCAGCACAACTGTTTACTATGTTCAGCTCATCTGGAAAACAGTTACTGAAGCAAGACTTTCTTGCCCAGTTATAGACAAATGTCCTGTGCAAGGAAGACCCAGAGAAAGAAACATAGACATACTTGTCTTTGGGATATCTGCTGTCCTAAAGAATCCCTTGTTGCCATTTCTGACTTGTAGGTCAAATGAGCTGAGAAGACCTACCACATCAAAGCCTTTTCCAAGGGCAAATGGGAGGATGTTCTTCATGATTTGATTTGAAAGTCATACCATATCTACATTAGGGGAAGGAACTATTTTTTTTACTTGAAAGTTTCAGTGAACTTGTAGATTTTCCTCTTTTCTTCATACTCAAATGACAACTATCTTCTCCAACCTGGATTTGAGAAGTGTCAGTTAGCACCTAGTCTCTCACACATCCTACTTCCCCAGCGTAGACAAGGTGTTGCTTAGACAAAGTAACAGAGACTGGATTGCAAATTCCCTTTAAACACCGAGTAACGTGGGAGGTCTACAGATAAAAACATATTGCAGTTTGGAGCATATTGCAATAAAATGATTCAGGGGGAAGAAAATAAAACAAGGAGGTTTCTTACTTCCAGCTCCTTCAGGACCCCTGCAGCACAGGTCTGCCGTGACTCGGGGCTGGCACTGGCAGCCTTCAGCAGCTTGTGACAGGAAGCAGGGGAACAGCCCGGGACCCAGTGGGGTCTGATGCGGAATGCAACTACAAACGTTACCCTCTGGCAGTGCCTGCACATCAGCAGATCAGAGCTGAAAGCTACATGTGGGGAAAACCTCCACTGCCACATTATTTCTGCTCAATGGACAAGGACTTCAATGTCTGCTCACACAGACTCACACATTCTAAGCTGCAGTTATATAAAAAGTCCTTTAGTGTTATGAACTTTGTTTGACTTTCTGTAGCAATTCCAAATTTGAATGAATTAAAGATTTCTGAAAAAAAAAAGTTTGTTTGTTTGTTTTGTTAAAATCCCTGGCTGGCACCTCATTTATGCTTTTAAATCTTTGTAACAGGAATAAGAAAACTCCTTTTTTTTTCTCTCTCACTGATTTTTCATATGTTCATGTTATTTCATCTTTGTTTTTAACACTTTTTTCTTACTATTTTAGGCAATGAAAGCTTGGAAGAAAACTATGTGCAGGACAGTAAAATGGGATTTGTCATCAATGCTATATATGCTATGGCTCATGGGCTCCAAAATATGCATCATTCCCTTTGCCCTGGACACGTTGGGCTGTGCGACGCTATGAAGCCAATTGATGGCAGCAAGCTCTTGGAGTTCCTCCTCAAATCCTCATTCATCGGTGTTTCTGGAGAAGAAGTTTGGTTTGATGAAAAGGGAGATGCACCCGGAAGGTAAAGAGAAGTTTCATCTCAGCTAATTCAACCAGATGTTGTGAAGGGGGAATGTTGCTGGGTTTGGTGATGGAGATTTCTTTGGCTGTAATGGAGTTATTTGGATTAGTCTTGCAAATAGACAGGAATAACACCGGTAACACATGACACATTGATAGCTGCAGCTCAGATTGAGCCAGGAACTACAGCACAGCCTGTAACATTGTCTGCCTGTGAGCTATTTGGTTTGATGTTTAGGTGTAATTTTCCAATTTTAACCCAAATATTATTTATTGTCTTGTTACCTAAGAGCATTTCCACAACTCTAATCAGTACTAAGCATAGAATTAGAATGAATAGTTCCTGAATTCAAAATATAGGAGAGTTTATATCAGGATATTTCTCTGATTATATCAGGATGATAGAATTTATTCCTTCCATCATTTTGGTCTATGGCAAGGTGAATTTCTCTTGATTCCCTGGCCTATTTAGAATTTGATGGGTTATTTTAGGTAGGGGTTTTTTGTTGTTGCTGTTGTTCCTCATTTATATTTTCACAGCTGGAGTTAGCAAGTTTGTGCAAGAAAGTTCAATTAATCTTTTTGTTATTCATGCTGTAATCCTTGTATCAGCCTGTGGCATTTATGATATGGGCTATATCATATCGGAGAACGGTGATGTGTATATGAAATGTGATCTCTACAATCTGTCGTATCTTTGTATGCCAGCAGTATTTTATGCTCATGCAGAATTGTATTCAGTTCCAGATTAGCCCTAGTGTTCCCACAGTTGCACATGGCGAAGCTCTTTGTAGATAAGTGAATGTACCATACCACTGTATCAATACCCAAAAGAGCTTTTGTACAATAAAAGATAAAACCCACATACAACACCCACATACAACAAAGAGATCCAGATCTGAAATTTCCTAGTTTTCTAGGTTTTCTTTGCCAGTGCAAGAATGTCACACAAATATGTAAAAAGTTTTTTGATATTACGTTACCACCTCGTGAACAAATCAACTTCACAAGATGCAATAAATCACTATTACTTCTTAGAAAGCAGCAACCTTCTTTATGCTTTATTTTCAGAATCTGTTAGGTTCTTTGAGCAATTCACTCTCGCAAGCTCCTAGTTACAATCATCATGGAGAGAGCAGGTAGTTATGCTTGCCTGACACTCACATAATTTCCTGTTTTGAGCACCTTACAGCTCCATCAAACCTTAACCTTTTGTTGAGATATAACTCTTTTTCTATCTCAAACTCAGTTAATGGTTTCAAGCTTTTATCAAAATGAGATTAGAAAACGTGAAGCACTTTTTTAAAGGTTTATTTCTTCTGTGCAGAATCTTTACTTTGAAGATCTTTTATGCAGAAATGTGAAGCAGAGCTTTATCAGAAGGGCACAAATGCAGTCACTTAACTGACTGCACTGCCTCCAGGAAAAATTATGTGGATGTAACTCTGGAATATCAACAGCTGTATGATGTGCTTGCTATACTGTCATTAAGAATGTGCTGGTAAAATTGCTGAACTTTTTACTTTCATTTAGTACTTCCCATTTCCTTTCTCAGTAGTAATCATATCACTTCAATTACCAGAAATGTCTGGAGAAGGTGTGAGGGATGCAGTAGTCAACAGAAACTTTGTCGTTCATTTTACTCCATTTAGACTCAGATGTAGGCCCCTGTAACTCGAGTTCAAAATTTCCAGTAGCTGTTCTGGCTTCAGATATGGCAGCTCTGTCAACTCCAATGCTTTGAGTAAATTATCAAATGCATAATGTCAGTACTTCAAACTTATACAGTATATAAAGGAATGTGTCTCAAAACATACGCGGTCATTTTGGAGTTTGGATCCATGGGTGTTTCTTTTGGCCAGTTACATCCCAGCTGTGTTCACCATTGCTGTTTTCCATTCTGCCTTCCAGCACAGCAGACCTTACTGCCAGTCTGGTATTATGGAGAAAGGTAACTTCAGCCATCTCAGACTAATGAGAGTAAGAGTGTGCCTGTGACCCGCTGGCTCACAGTCTGGGTCACCTCACAAGTAACTTGTTCATATGACACCACCTATTTGGTCACATCATTTCCCAATATACCAGAGTGCTTGCCCTTACGTTAAAAGAAAGGTTCATTTTCTACCATGCAGGATGTTATCGTAGCTTCTGTAAATGCTGCTGTATGTGTGTGAAATCCAGCTGCCTCCGTGCTCCTCACTTTCTTGGAGCTCCACAACTCTTGGAATAATAATTTTTAGCTTGGACACAGCCCAAAACTGTTAAAGCTGTACATGTGTGAGTGAGGGGATAGGGGGAGGTATTTCAGCACTGAACTCATCCTTACGCAAAGCAGAATTCTTTTCATTAAGGAAAAGAAGAAAAGGATAAAGAGCTTACACAAGTCTCCATATACCAAGTGTGTTTGTTACACCACATTTCTCCACTTAAAATTCAAGCTGCATATCAAAGCTGCAAACATCATACTACAACTTGTCATATGCAAGACTATATAAGAGCTTTTAGTCTGTATACTTTATTCTTTGACAGATACCTGATAGAAGAGGGAATAGCATTGTAAGAAAACATAAGAATGGCTTTCACCCTCAAATCATATCCCTGAGATTGCCAGCTCTTGATTGATATTGCATTAATGTCACTCTGTGCCTTGTAATATATTTTTGCAAAACTGAAAACAATCTGTGCAGGTTCAAAAATTCCATTAAGGGGATGTGAGGTCTTAGTAATCTTTTACTCCCCTTCCTGAATTTATTTTCCAGCCCAGAGTAATTGATTTTGTATCAGTCTAATACAAGGTCACACTAAAATCCAAGTTCTTGCTAGGAAGAGACATGTACGTTCCTGCTCAATTTTACTCCTGTCTGTTGAGTCTGCATTATAAAGTGCTCGGCTCTTAATGCTATCCTGATTCTTCACAATTCTGAAAACAGCATTCCTTTTTTTTTTTTTTTTTTATGTTCTTCCTTTGCAAGAACTGGGATATGAGAAGGAATTACTTCCTAGTGAATTTGAAATTTACCCCTTTTTTAAGCAACTCCTCAATTAGTAGCCAATTGCCAACCAATGCAGCTGCCTCCTGTTTGGAGTTACGTTGAATTCAGTGGCAAGAGTCTCTTTTCCCATTCAGTGGAGCTCTGCAGTGGCACTGACATCATGTGAACATGCATATTTGCAAGACCAAGGTCTAAATACAGCCATAAATATCCATGACTTTAAATCATCTCTAACTAGAGAGATCTCAAAGACTCAATGAAGAAAAACAGATGTCTAGAGAGTAATCCTAGCACCTCTTTCCTCTGTGAAGAGCAGAGACAGTTGAAATTTTGCATGTTTGAACCTCAGAAAGGAAAACAAATAAATGGATATCTCTCTCTCTTTGCCCAAAGCCAAGCATCCCAGTTTTATTTATGGCTCATACCTTGCTTACCTTTCACTCCTAAAGCACATACCGATTAGCAACACTCATAAACAAAAGATTCTTTCCCCAGAGACCGAGACAATGCAGTAGAGAAAAACAAAGTAGTAACTCTCAGGCTTGGAAAACAGAAGATGCTTTGTGATTTTCAGCTCCAGTGCTGATTTCTGGTTCTCAGTCCTCTTTCTCTTGTCCTTCTTTAAATGAAGCCCTTTCCCTTCTGATCTTAAGAGGCCAAGCTGTAGGTCCAGCTTCTTTTGTGGTTCTTCCTCTCTGTCCATTGTCCAATATTTATTCTTCCATTCTTGCTTACTTCCTACTAAGAAATCACCCCAGTTCATCACTGCTTTGCACAAGCCACATTCTGTGGGTTAAAGAAGGAACAGAATAATTAGCAGTAAGGGATGTGCACACATCAGGTGCAACACAAGGAAGGCAATGATGAAGGCAGTGAAGGAGCAGTGTTTTATGCTTCCTTTTCATTAGCCTTGGGAAGTTCTCTCCTAATTGCCCAGGGTGAGGAAGTAAATTTTATGCCTGAGCTGCTAACTTTTCCTGACACTTTCACTGGGTAATATAGTTGAACTAGTGCTTACAGTTAACTTATGGCATACCAATTCAGTTAGTTTGAGCATTTCTACTGATTACTTTAGAGTTCCTAGAATGGGCTATACTGCAACCTCTCCGTAGGCACCAAGCGAACATTAAAGACATCTTCAAAATGTCTGAAAAACACACCATCCAGACAGTTCCTACATGTGCATCTTTAGCAGAGCTTTCTGTCTTTGATGTACAGTTCTTCCTGGACACACAACTTTTTACTCACAGTTTTCTGTAAGCAGGGCAGGCAATCGGTAATTGTGAGGCAATCAGAGAGAATCAGGCAGAAGGAGGAGGGCAAGGTAAATTTTTATCTTTTGTGTTGCAGGACAGTGACTTGTTTTCTTTTTTCCCTTGCAGGTATGACATCATGAATTTGCAGTACATAGAGCCCAACCGCTACGACTACGTCCTCATTGGGACCTGGCATGAGGGTGTGCTCAACATTGATGACTACAGGATTCAGATGAATAAGAGCAGAATGGTCCGATCGGTGTGCAGCGAGCCTTGCTTGAGGGGCCAGATTAAGGTGAGCCTCAGACACTTACTTTCTGCTGTAGAAATGTGAGTAACCAGTCACAGTTTTTTCCTTAAACATAAGCAAGCTTCTTTCCCACCAATGGATGCGACTTCCTTTTCTTCAGAAAAGCCAAAAGTATAGAAAGACTCCTAGATTAACATCTTACTCTTACAATACCGTATACAGGCCCATGTTTTCTAAAATTGTCCTTTATAGTGATGCAGGATCTTCTAGTGTGACAGAATTTGAATTTCACCTTATGCGAGAAAGAACTAAATTTGCACTTAGTCATTGCCTACACATTCAGCAGCTGTGATTCACTTGGGGGCTGATCCTGAAAATAACGTGACCCATGGGAATCCAGTATTTTGTTCCAGCAATAACACCTAAAAAAAAAAAAAAAAAAAAAAAAGGTGCCTATTTGTATCTCATGTTCACAACAGGAGGTATCCTAAAACAAACAAAATAACTCTCTGATAACTCTCTGTTTACCAAACAGTGGCACTTGTATCAAGCTACAAATAATTTGCCACCTGCCATGTCTGGATGACATACAGACGTGTTCCACCAGTACCAAACAGTATGGATGCAGTAAATTAAAATGGCAAGGAGCCCATTCAGGAAAACCACCTTAGAGCAGACCTTCCTTTCTAATTTCATTTAATAAGCACATTTGCAGCTTTTTAATTCTATATTGCTACTTTAAGCAATAAGTGATTGATGACTTGGCAAAGATGTAGTGACATACTCCAACAATCTTGGAAGGGAAACATTATTGGTATTTACTACCCTCCAAAACATCTTTTCCTTGTTTTTGAGATTATGCAGTTTGTGTATGTGTGTATATGTAAACACCATGCATACAAAATGCCATCTTCAGCTCCCATTGAAGTCTATTGGACTCTCTCCACAGACTGCAGGAGGAAATATTAACAAAAAAATGCCTGCAAAGGCAGCATTCAACAAAACAAACATTTTGTATTTCACTATTGCACTTAGCTCTGCATATAGATGGATGGGAAGATGCTGGCGAAAAGTCTGGATTTCTCTTTTCTGGCAAGCAGAGACAGTGTCTTTATTGGAGCCCCATGAGCTGGAGATAGCCTTAATCTTTCTTTCAGCCTTAGTGTAATGAAACTAGGAGTCAAGACGAGGAAACCATCTTTCCAACATTGGATCATTACACTTAGCAGCCTTCACAGAAGAGAAAGATACAGCTTTCAGGGACATTTGTCTCCAAAAGCGCTGTTCCAAAACATGCTCATGATCACCACATATTGGTTTTATTTTCTACTAGGACCCATTACATCCTTTTAGCAGTATATTTTTTAATTTGCTCTTATTTGAATTTCAATTTAGACCAGTGTAACGAGCCCCAAAGAGACTTCCATGTAAATTGGAATTTATGTGTTTGTGCCTGTGCTTGTGCATATATATATATGTATATGCATGAATCACTCTTTGTTCTAAAGTTTGACTTTGTTTACTGCTTTTTACTATGTGATAGATATTAAGTGTGGGCTGAGCTACTTGTCCTGACCTGAACCATCTGTCTGATTAAGTCTCTTCTCAAGTTTGATTGAAAATATGCTTCCATACTAAAGCAAAAATGGTTTTGTACATATAACTCAGAACTGCTCCCCCCAAAACAAGATAGCATTGTTCCTGGAGATTATCCTTGAGCTCCTAAGCACAAAATTTAATATGCAGGCGTAGATACAGAATCAGGATTCACGTTTTCTAGTTGTTTGAAACACACCATGCACAGGAATCCTCTCGTATTTTAAGCAGTGCAGGTAGTATCTGCTTGCTGGGGGGCTTCTGTGTTTTCTTATAGAGGATTATAGCTGAGGATGTATTTTGCATTACAGGTGATCAGGAAAGGAGAAGTGAGCTGCTGCTGGATTTGCACTGCTTGCAAGGAGAACGAATTTGTTCAGGATGAATTCACATGTAAAGCCTGTGAGCTTGGCTGGTGGCCGAATGCTGACCTGACAGGTAGGGACATGTCCTCCAAACGCATTCCCATTTTGCAGGGCACAAGGAGAACGGTGTGTGGTGGAAAGTAAGGTGGCAGCATGCAGAGATATTAAAGATACATACTTACATATGTGCACACATCCCAATGCAGTAAGGGTGAGTGAAAAGTGCTGTATCTTTTGGCTCAGTTCAACAGCAGTGACAATAAAGATGGCAAAATTTCTACCAAGAAGCAATGACATACTCTGTTCCTCCCCTTCAGTTAGCATAAGCATTGATAAAGCTGTTAAGACTACTAATGAACTTAGCAGCATTTGCTGCGATTTTAGCAGTGATTACCACAAGAGCTCAGTGCATCCTTGTCAGATTGACTTGATACTCTTTCTGATCATTCTACCATGCAATTAGTAATACTTCATCTGGGATTTCAGGCTACTCAGTAACTGACTACCAGACTCTCATTTGGTATAAAGACCATTTTCATTGCACCCTCCAGCAAGAGGAACATCAACAAAATCCTAAGAAAGGCTGGCAAATGAAAAGAAACAGCTAGAATTGGTCTCCCCTCTGTATATGCTTTGGATGAGTCGTATGCTATGGCATCTCTCTGTTATTTCGTACTTATCAAGGTCAACCTCCACACCTGCTCTGAGCTTTGCAGTAACTGTTACCCCAAGAAAACAGACTTAATGCAGTGAGAAGCACCACCTTGAGCTTAGGGTTTGCTTTGTATCACTGTGAAAACCTACTGACACCTCTGTCCCATGCTGCATCTGCAAATCTTGGCTGCCAGTATTCAGCAGGGCATCATTCCTAGTCAGAGAAATAATCTAACTACCTAGCTGAAGATCAAATGTGCAACTTATCGCCTCTTTGTCCTTTAATGTCACTGACTGGCAACTAGATGTTGCTGCAGCATTTAACACATAGATGAAGTATCCAAACCTTGATTAAATAGTTCCAAGACATACTGTTAAGCTAGTCACTGAAGCCAAGTGAGCTTTCAGAGGATTTATTTTGAGAGAGAAAGCTGGCCACTTCCCCAGCTAAAAAAATATTATTAATCACAATAAACTGAGAAACCTGACCCATTGTCTATGCTGGCTTTCTACGGAAAATAAGGTTATGTCCCAGATGTGTGTGTATCTCTCTATATCCCATACCTCTCACCCCAATGCCCCCCCACCTCTCTGGTGTGCAACTGAACCTACTTCAAACAGCTTTGTCAGGATGCAGAAACCTCAGTCATCTTTAAAGCAGATATCCACAGACAACTGGGTTCTGTTAGTCTTGGAGGTTCACAGAATTGTTTGTATCTACTATTCAGGGAAGAAAACTGGGACTTCTTTTTAATCAATAAAGCAGAACAAGAACATAGTGAGAGATCAATGTACACTTGAGCGAATATGGTTCAGTGCTACCAGCTGCCCAAAATAGCACAAAAAGGGGCATGTCAAAATGACAGGCACTGCTGAAAGGAGTTAAGGAAAGCATCAGTGCTGGAAAAAAATCGCAGGGGCATGTTGCGATCTATTAACTTTTAATGAAATTGGTAGATGACCTGCTGATTTGTGTTTCTTCTCAGCAAGGAGACTGGACTGCTGCTGCTCTAAAATCACAGTAGCATCAGCCAAATGACAGCATAGCCATCGACTGATTTCCTAGAGAACATCAAAACGGCAGTCTGCTCCTACACAGCTTCTTCATTCTGTCTAGCTGAGGATAAAACTTCCTTTTTTAACCCCTGCATTTCATTTACTTGAATTGCAGTACAAAGTGCAAAGTTCTGAAGAGAAGCTGAACTGATTTCCTAGAGAACATCAAAACGGCAGTCTGCTCCTACACAGCTTCTTCATTCTGTCTAGATGAGGATAAAACTTCCTTTTTTAACCCCTGCATTTCATTTACTTGAATTGCAGTACAAAATTGTGAATAGAAGCTGATGCCATCCTAACCTTTAGAAAAGGGAGACTGAGCTAGAGAAACTCTGTCTCTTGAACTTTGTGGGAGTCACTATTGGTATCATGGAACATGGATTTCTCTTTTCTTGCCAGGATTTCTCCCATCAAATGTGTTTTTATAGCTTGCTTTTGTGTGTTGTATTCATACCCTGCCAGTCAGCACAGCATCTAGACACCGACGTTAACATCTCACATTTCAGATTGTTTTTCCCTTTGCCTTAAATCTTAAATGCTAAACATGTATGCAGCTTTAGTCCCATTTTCCATCACAGATGGAGTCTCTACTAACCCATTTCCTAAGACCAGCTTTTCAAGGTGCTCCTTCTCTCCGTTTGAAAGCAGTCTCTGTTGCTCAGCAATCCTTTCCTGACATTTTAATTTTATTTTTAAATGTACAAATCTTTTTTAGATTGCTTCCTCTAAATATGTGTCCAGTGGAGTCAGCAGGCACAAAGGATTTCTCACCAGAGATGACAAAATCCTGATCTGACAAATAGTCACTAAACCCAGCATCTTAAGGCCTTGTGCCAAGAAGAAAAGATATCTTTTATAGTATCAGAATCTAATATAAGAAGAATGAATGTCAAGCCAGTAAGCCCAGTTTACATAAATCATCTTAAATAAGCAATAAAACAAGATAGGACAGGAAGTTTTATAGAGTTATTATGAAATGAATCATAAAGGTTTGTGGCCATCAGTTACCTGGGATGTGCTAATGACCTCAAAAGACATCTTGGATTGTCCTATTGGCCTCACAGTATGAATATAATTTTATTTTAAAAATTAAAAATCGATTAGCCTTCTGCTCTAGGAAATGTTTAATGGTTAAAGTGCAGGGAAAATAGCAGATTAAATATACCAAACAGCTTTTTACTAGAAACTTTTAACTGTGAAGCTTTTGCCACGACTTCTCTGATTTTTTGAGGTTGGGGTTGTTGTTGTGGGGGTTTGTGGGGATTTCTGTATTTTTTTTTTTTAACCTGTTAAGTTCACAATTTCCTGGGTATCCTCCCCCAGTCTCAACAAGGTTCCCTAGCCCACTTTCTCCTAGCTGGGAAATGACACACCTTCACAAGTGCTGACAACCAACAACTGTTTGCTGATATAAGCAGTGAAAGCAGCTTTCTGCAATGTTTGTAGCACATGTGGCTCTTGGGGCTTGCTGGTGCACAGGAATTACACTGATTTAACAAAATAGATTTCTAAGACCTGACACAGGAGAAGCTTAAGGCAATCAATAGCCTTAACTACCATGCTGAATCAGGGCTAAGGTTCTGAAAATGTTGTTTAAGATGGAATATGTGAGTATGCCTTGATGTTGCTAAGCTTAAAGCCCACATTGAAACTTAACCCTTCCAGTAACCACAGACTGGCTTCTTGTTTAAGAAGAGCTATGCATGTATTAATCAAGGAGCAGGAGCTTCTGATGCTTAGTTTTTTATTAAATCAAAGAAGCCTCAGGGCTGCTGCGGCCAATGGCCAGAGGTTCCCACTTCTAACAAAATGCTTTTCCTTTGTGTTTCACAATAAAAATACCAGCTGGAAGAATGGGTTTCCTCACCTGAGTCTTGAACAGACCCCTTTGAGCAAACCACAATTCCTTTTCTTCATCAAAGAAGACCTCCAGTTGCACATACTATCATTTCTAATGTTTTTTGGTGTTACAGGTACCTGTAACATCATTATCTGTAGTTAAGACAGCCCCGTACTCTTGGAGACAGAGAGTACAGAATTATAAGACATTCTTTCAGTTCATATGACATTGGCAGACAGTAAGAGATTTATCAGAATTTTTCCATGTCAGGACTTTGCCTCAGGCTGGTTTTTATAATTTCAACCAAAAAAAAAAAAAAATTCTCCTTCTGTTTCTCAAAATGAGGTTACAGTAAAACAGTTCAACCCTGATCCATGCCTCTGCTTACTTCTCCTATGTTTGGAAGTAAGGACTTTACATTTTGGTAAGAGGTATCAGTTGATAATTTTATGTCACCCTGTGGAAGATGCATATAAATTGAGCAAAACTGTGGGCCTCAGAATATTTTAGTTCATAGAAGCTAGATTCTGCAGATATACTCCATAGTGAGCAGGAAGGAGCTGAGCATGACTTTTGTTCATCACAATAATCAGGGCCCTTGCTAAGATTTAGCAGCAAAACTGAGGGGAAAAAAATGCCTCTCTTACAAGCTCACTGACACCACTGCCTTTTCGCTGCTCTTCTCATCCACGTCCAACATCCCAGACCAGCAGAGTTGATGAGCAGCTCGTCCAGGATGTGAAAAGCTGGACCAGCAGTGTTCGTAACAGAGACATCTGGGTGGAGAGGTGACTGACTAGGAAAAAACTGAACTGGAAGGGGAACTAATATGGAGACGGTGAGGAACTGAGAGCAAAGATACTTGGGAGGTGGGGAAAGGGCACAAAAGGTGAACTGGGTTGAAGGGAAACTTGAGGAGGACAGAAACAAGAAGTAGAAAAGGCTATGAATACTTACCTTGTGATACAGAAACATGTTGAAAACATTTTGACACTATCAAGTCAAGAATGGAAATTAGGAAATTCCAAAATCATGGTTTCCAGTAGCAGCTTCACAACTGTAACATCCTCTTAACACAGAGGACTTTATTTACTCTGTAATGTTTACCGCTGTTTTATTATAACTTCAGCACAGTGAGGAAGGTAGACAAAGACTCCTTTAACCTGAGCATGGCAGAGAACAGTTATGTACCATCTTAACTGATACCTATGTTTGCAGATCTGTACTAGTCATAAAGGAGAGCCTTTCCAGTTTTTTTTTGAAGGCATGCATATTTTGTGAGTTTGACCTTTCTGTAAGAAATAACTTACATTATTTAGTGGAAAAACAAAGAGCAGAGGGTTTCACAAAATGAGAATAAGGTAATGTTAAGAGAAAAAAAAAAAAGCAGAAATAAGAAGGTACAAAAATGAGAATAAGGTAATGTTAAGAGAAAAGAAAAAAGCAGAAATAAGAAGGTACAGTATCTATGGTGTAGTTTCATTAAAACTTTGGATTTATTACCATTTTTCTGCCCATAGATCTCTAATTAATTCCTGACCATTTTTCTGCCCATAGATCTCTAATTAGTTTCCATTATTTATCAAATCACCCTCACAAAAATGTAGTGGGTCAAGTTATAGTGATTTTGATAAACATTAAAATATGTTAGGCTGAGGAGGTAAAAAAGCTAACTGCTCTAATTTGTGATGATCTTTTCCCTGCTGAAATGAAGGGATGGTGCTGAGTTTGGCTGGGTCCTGTTCCCAGCTCTGCCTTTGATATGCTGAGTTTGCCAGTAGGTATCTCAACAAAAATTATGAAAAAATTTCCAAATCTCATTTCCCTTTGTAGCGTCATGAGCAAATGTTTGGGACTCTGAAAACTGATGGCTGTTTTTTGAACATCTCTCACCCAAACCTTTTCCATGGTGCAGTTCACTCCTTTGTAAAATGGTTTTAATAAACCATGGTACAAGCTAATGTTTGAATTATACTAGAAGCCAGAAAAAATGTTCTTTCTTCAAGCAGCTACTTTTCTAACACTGTGTTTCTTTTCTGTACACTGCAGGCTGTGAACCCATCACTGTAAAGTACCTCCAGTGGAGCAATATAGAGTCTATTGTGGCTGTGGTCTTCTCCTGCCTGGGGATCCTGGTCACCATGTTTGTCACCCTTATCTTTGTGCTCTACAGGGACACCCCTGTTGTCAAATCCTCCAGCCGTGAGCTCTGCTACATTATCCTTGCTGGCATCTTTCTGGGTTACGTCTGCCCTTTCACCCTTATAGCTAAACCCACCACAACATCCTGCTACCTCCAGCGCCTTCTGGTGGGTCTCTCCTCTGCCATGTGCTATTCTGCCCTTGTGACCAAAACCAACCGCATTGCACGCATCCTTGCAGGCAGCAAAAAGAAGATCTGTACCCGCAAACCACGTTTCATGAGTGCATGGGCCCAAGTGGTCATTGCCTCCATTTTGATCAGCGTGCAGCTGACACTGGTGATCACGCTGATCATCCTGGAGCCCCCGATGCCCATCCTTTCCTACCCCAGCATTAAGGAAGTTTACCTTATCTGCAACACCAGCAACCTGGGCGTCGTGGCTCCTGTGGGCTACAATGGACTCCTCATCATGAGCTGCACGTACTATGCCTTCAAGACTCGCAATGTGCCTGCCAACTTCAATGAGGCCAAGTACATTGCATTCACCATGTACACCACCTGTATCATCTGGCTGGCATTTGTGCCTATCTATTTCGGGAGCAACTACAAGATCATCACCACCTGTTTTGCAGTGAGCCTGAGCGTGACAGTGGCACTGGGGTGCATGTTCACTCCTAAGATGTACATCATCATAGCCAAACCTGAGAGGAACGTCCGCAGTGCCTTCACCACCTCGGATGTGGTGCGTATGCATGTTGGGGATGGCAAGGCACCTTGCAAGTCCAACACCTTCCTCAACATATTCCGGAGAAAGAAGCCAGGGGCTGGAAATCCAAAGTAAGTGATTGACTGCAAGGTACACATCTATCTGTATGTCCTTCTCTTTGCCATCCTCTCTTGGTTGACTGTAGTCTGCTGAATAGTAAGGTATGTAACAGTTTTTCACCTCACATGTAGCAGAAAAGGTGGAAATGATCCTTTAGATCTAAGCCTCAGATGGATATTGATGTGTTGGTTCTTATTTCCTCTCCTGCTCTAAAGGCAGCCCTGTACGCAGCTGCCTCTACCTCTGGGGCAGGTCTGGCAGTGGCAGAGTAACCGAGCTCCATTTGCAGCTTCTCCCACCTCTCCATGCGTGTGTGGAGGATCCCACACCCCTAAGTGCAGTTGCTCTGCATTATGTTCAAATTGAGGTGCTATTGTAGCCTTTTGGGAAAGGGGACCAGAAATCTATGTCTGAGTGGCTGTAAATCACATGTACTTGTCTAAGGTCACTGGGGTGTGTGTGTGAAAGCTGGGGGTTGAACATTAGTTTTTAAGGTAGTGCTTTGTGACAGTCCTCATGATTGTGATCCCCAAGCACTTTTCATACTATCCCTATGCTCTATTTAATATTCAGAATTATGAGCAATACTCTTAATCATCATGAGTGTAAACTTGTCCATGTTCTCAAACCCAGTGTTTGTGTGAAAGTTGCAGAAGTCAACTGATGGTGACAATGAACTTGCATCCACATCTATTGAACCTGGTGTTTTCCTTGCTAATAATTAAAAGCAACGCAGCTGCAGCAGAGAGGGAGGGAGAACTGTTACTTCAAACAGCCTCTCCCTCTGAGCAGCTGTTTGAACATTTGCATTTGTTATTTTCTTATTGCTTTTTAATCTTTAAAGAAGCACCATAGGGCTAGACATGAGCTTAGATGATTTTTGTAGCAATTTAAAAAAATTATCAAAATAATAAAGAACCAGTGAGGTCTATGTTTCTGAGCTTCCTGATAGAATTAAAATTCAGTTAATTTCCAGCTCTTTGGGATCTGTAGGTTTCTCTGAGTCACTCGAGTTGGTTTCAGTTCAGTTTGCATACGAACCATTGTCGTACGTCCTGGAGATGGAAGGGATAAGGATGGAGGTAATACTACAGAAAACCCATGCTGTGACCAATTTTGTCTTTATGCTACTTTAATACTTTTTATTTTATTGCCAGACAGGGGGTCGAAAGGGAAGGGAATGGAGACATAAGTAACCCAAATATACAGCTCAGAGTGCACTGGAGGCCGTGGTAAGACTGCGAGCTCCTGAGCTAGGCAGAGAGGGAGCTGGGAGTGGCAGGCAGCCCTCGGAGCTCCCCATGCAGGGACATGGCCAAAAATCTCTGTAGCTCAGGAGCTTGAATTCCATGCAAACAGAAAGATGGAGCCTGATCCACCTCCCTCTGACTCTGTAGAAGTTGGATAGGGTCTTAGGTGTCTGTAAGAAACTCGTGTGGTGTCTCTGTAGCATAGTCCCTGGATAATGTTTTCATAACTTTCAGACGATATCTGACAAAGAAAAAAGGACTATTGAGTATTTCAGATCATGAGAAACTTAGCAACTAATTCTTTGTTGTGTTTATTGTTCTTCTACTTTCCCAAAAAAAAATTGTACTTTAAAAGATTTAAGTCCAATATATTTAGAATACAGTTCATAATATGAGAAAATATTTAATCTTGTTCAAAACCCGAGCTTCCCCCTCAGCATTGTCACCTTAGAAAAAACAACAGGGCTTACCTCACCTTTTTAGCAATTTGTCTGTTGCATAATTTTACTAAGATTTTCTTGACATCTCTGTTGAGCCTGTGTGACTGGTATAAAGCTGAAAAGCCCTACAGAGTTTTAAGGTGCTCTTCTAAACTGAAAGCTCAACACCTAGTTAATGTGCTTTTTTGTTTCAGGTCAAGCCTCTAGATCTTTTACACAGCAAAATCCCAACCTCTGACCTAAACCTCTTGTGCAGTTACTGCTACGTTCTTCACCTAAACCAGCACTGATGCAGAGGCATGATAGGTTTGCTGATGGAGGGCAGCATGCTTCTCTGTACATAGGCATGAAGAACTGAAAGCAGTGTAGGATTCAGACATGCAGCTTTGCAAATAAAGTCACAAGACAGCGCAAAAAATAATTGCAGGGCTTTGAAGGGTATTTTAGCTCCTAGCAGAGTCCATTGCAAAGCTTCTGAGGACATTGCACTGACACAGATAAAGAAGTGTGAGTCACTGAGGAAATCAAGAAGGAAAAATTAGAATTTGCTGGAGACTTTGAAGCACCCAGATAACTCAAATGTGTAGTCAGGTCCTTCCTGAAACAGGACTTGAAACTACTGGAACATGCTTAATGCCCACAGGAGTGGCCTCCAAGCTGATTTTCTTTTTTTTTCTTTTCATTTCCTATCAAAATTCGGGATTTAGTTGCGAGTTTTTCAGTAAATTCAGGTCCCCGAGTATGTTGTTCTGCTTCTTGATTCTGTAATTGTCCCTCCCTATGGCCATATTTTTCTGTCTCTAAGCAGTCAGCAGTGCTTCACTTGAAAGATTTATTCTCCAGCTGTCTTACAATAACTTTCCATCCCTTTTCTTTTTATCTCTTCTCTCTCTTCCTAGCTTTTTTTTCTACTTTTCAATTTTCATCTCTTTTCCTATCTGTATCAAACCTCCCTTCTGCTAATCCAGTGAATTCCAGTCCCTAAACAGAAAAGTCGCATCCATCTCAATTAAAATGGTGTGCAGATACAGAGTTAAATTGATTTAGTTTTAAAAATGGAAATTAGTTTACATTTACAAGGGCAAGTCAAACTTATGTAAGCCTTGATAAAACACTCCCATGCAATGTTGTGCTGTTAGTTTAACCAATATAGCTTGGGGACTAGAGCAAGCCAAGCCACTCTTCCCTTCTCCTTCCTAAAGCAGAGCAAAAGAATTAACCAGGAAAGTCTATTTAAACACCAAATCTATTAGCCAATTCAAAACCTTCAGCTATGTCTGGTGCTGATACAGAAAAGTCAGAAAGTCCTTTTGAAAAATGTCTGTCCCAGCTGCATTGCCAACAGAGTTTCAATGAAAATAAATTGTTTAGTAACACTGGGCTTTAGTTAAATAACAAAGGATGCTGCCTTTACTCACCTGTTGCACTCTAAAGACATTATGTGCAATCACGAGGCTTTGAACTCTGTCTTACTTGGTTGAATTAACTGTGAGCAATTACAGCCAGCACTGTTTTAATTAGAGCTGGTTGGGAACTTTTCTGTGGAATATGTTTTCCATCAGAAAATTCTGACCTCTCAAAACATTTCATAGAATTGGGCTTTGATGGTAGGGATCCTCTCTGGAACAGGGGGACTTTCTTTTTTTCCCATGGAGGGATCAAGGCATTGGGAAAGTGTGAGGGAAATTTACCCCAACACCCATTAATTAAGGCATTCACCTAGGTTAAGAACCTCTCTTTCACTTCCCAGATGAACATCCTATAACAGCACGACTACGCACTGTCCCAGGGCAAGTCTCCTCCTTTCTCTCTGTTGACCATCAATGAGTCCTGGAACAGGGAAAAAAATCCTGATGCAAACCCTAGAGAAATACTTCGTCTTATTCTGTGAGAGAGCTTGAATCTGGGTCTGAGAGATCCCTCGCAACTGTCTTCAGTACTGAGCTGCTGTCAGTCTCTCCCTCTTGTCAAATTAATTTTTAAATATGTATAAAAAAAGGAACAGCTCCATCAAGAGAGATGGAGAGAGAGTGATATCTGCTGCTTTTATTGAAGCTTTGTAGAGACATTTATTGCTAGAGTTTGCTGCTTGATGACATTATGAGATCACAGCTGTTACAGGATGATGACATAGCAGCATTTTTTAGGAGAGCCATTTTAATATATTTTTTTCCCAGCTGTGAAATTGTAACTTTTGCATATGGATCTTGCTGTGATCATTAGCATTGTTCTTGACCACAGATGTTACTTTGGTCTACAAGGGTCAATCAGCTTGAAGAGTAGCACTCTTGTACAGTGTCTGTACAATTGCTTCCCTGAGGAAGCAATGCTCCTTTCTGTACTATGTGCAGAAAAAATAACCAGTGACACTGAAGATTCTAATCTTGGTGAGGGTTCAGGAAACACTGTCTCCAGCCACTGCTTCAAATGGACCCTATTCAACAGGCAGGAGTCTGAAGCCAGGTCTGCAGCCTGCAGATCTGGTGTGTTGCTTTTCTAGAGTCTGCACACGCATTTAAAATAGAGTTTGTGCCACACAGCAAGGCTCACCTCCTCCCCCATGCTTCTTGTGGACTGCAGTGGCATGAGAAGGACCAGAGGGGTTAAGTTTGTTGTGCATCTTTGGGTATTTAACTCCAGGTTTTGCAGTGATGCTTAGCTGCTGCCTCAGTCTTCACATATAAATGATTTTGAATTTATGGTTGAGACCCCAGGTCTGGACACCATTTTAGTGCATTGTGAATCAGAGTAAGGTAAGGATTCAGCTGTCCACATAAATTGTGTAGCAAAATCTGAGTTGAGAGGAAGGCCAACTAGCAAGACTCACTGGGTAGCCAGGACTCCCCATTAATGCATAAGACACCTGCTTCCCCCTTGTTATTTTAATATATTTGCATTCAATTATTTTTTCTCCAGCTGTCTGCCCTCAGAAATGAATGGCTGTTCTTAAATATTTCCAAACATGTACTTTTTAATCTTTTTAACGTGTTTTGCCAGTCCATGCCTCTAGGTGGCTCTCGCAGGCATCCACTCTAAGCAGTGTCCAGGCAGTCACCCGGGCCAAGATTCTCTCAAAATGCCTTTATCTTGTTCTGATAAAAAGTGTGAGGCAACCCAACATCCCCTAGTACCTTCTCCCGGCTTCCTTTACAGGAAGGAGCCTGTTCCTATTCTTCCTCCTCTCTCCCTCTGTACTTGGTCCCTATTTATAACTGGTCTCTCAGTTACCTCCAGTAACACGTGCCTGTTCCCACACCCAGGCTTAGGGAACCATCTGCTTTTTTTGTCTTGCCAGTTATAAACTTATCTCCAGGTATTTTT